GAAAAGAAAGAAGGGAGAGGAGAGGAGAGGAGAGGAGAGGGGAGGGGAAAGGAGAGGAGCGGAGAGGAGATGAGAGGAGAGAAGAGGGGAGAGGAGAGAAAAGAGGTAAGGCGAGAGAAGGAAAGTGGAGAAAGAAGAGAGGTGGGGAGAGGAGAAAGGAAATTAGCAAGGAGAGTAAAGACTGATGGAAAGAAGATATGGGAGAAGGCAAGAAAACAGCAGTATCTTAAAAATTACAATAACCAAGTAAATAAGTTTGTGTATACATGTGGGTACATGTGTGTGTATATGAATATGTATGTATGTGCATGTATGTATAAGTGTATGCATGCATTCATGTATGTATGTATGTATGTATATGTATATGTATATGTGTATGTATGTGTGCATGTGCATGTGTACATAAAAATCATATAATTCTTATATTTGGATGGGAATAGGTTGTATAAACAGTTCGGTTAAATCTTACATTTTAATAAGTAAATATATGTAAATATATTTGGAATATAATATCACAATATATAAAAATGACTTTTGACATGTACACCCAGTCATTCTACAATTTACAGAGTCTCGCTTCCACTTTCAGAACACACTATACACCATCATATTCCACAGGGCAACAAACACACAGCATTATGGAATGTCAATGCTGAAACCATTTTTTCCAACTCTTTCATTCACTTTGGTTCTGTTGAGTTTGGTACCATCTCTCAAGTTATTATTTGAGAGAGAGAAAAAACAAACAAACATTATATGGTTATGAGAACTTAAGGGGAGAGTAAACCATACATTATCCTCTTTATACTGTTTCCCTTCCCCTTTAATTTTTTGGTAATCAGGTCATTTATATACAAAGAGCCAAAAAAAGGGGAGAGAAGGAAAGGTTATGGGGGAAATTATGCATACAGGCATACAAACTTATGATGATGAATTACCAGTACATATGTCGCTAAAGCTTTGTTGTCTTTCATCATTGTTAACTAAATGTATGGTGACAAACACAATGATATTCAAAGGATGAAGTACCAATCACACATGCATTAAAATGAGTAAAAGGAATCTGTGGGATTAAATGCAATGAGTTTATGAAGATACCTTAAGAGTTAAGGAATGTGTGCCGACATTGATACAACAAAGGTTAAGGCCAGTAAAGACTAAAAAAAGTACAGCCTCCAAAAACAAAAAATCTTTATGAAACACAAAAGATGTATATACTTCTAAAATAATGGTAATATTTCCATGTTGCTTTCTTATTCCAAAAAAATTATAGCAGATATAAGAATTAATTAGTTTTTCAAGAAGAAAAATCATAATAATTATCTCTTCAACATGCAAGTTTAACATCAACAATGAAATATGAAAAAAAGAAAATTGTGAATGAAGGTAGTTGCTGCAACTTAAATGTTCTATGTCAGTTTCTATATACATCTCTAGCCTATCAATTATTACCCCTAAGTTAGCATTTAAGAAACATGAACATTATGAATATAGCAACACATCATAAGTGAAATAATGTGTATCTCATTACGTGTCTGAATATCCTCTTGAGGAAAAAATAAATAAAAGCAAAATCATTAAATACTGTATCAACTGCTATGGACCTGAAACCTTTTATATTCTTCTAGAAAATATCTTTGAAGTTGGTGATAAGGTTGACTTTTGCATGTTGAAATTGGGTGATTGTGGGGAGGATAGCACAATGCGGCTGATTGAAATGTTTTGCTGGCCGCTGGGGTTTTCAGTGCTCTCCGTCACACTAATGATGGCTGGCCTGCAGGGCTCTTGCTGGTAGGGAGGCAGACCCAGGATGCCTGAGAACATAGCCTGGTTTTGGTTAAGCCTGCTACCACCATCGGCCAGAGGGGAGGCCTGCTTTGCCTTCAGGCTAAGGACACTCTGAGAGGAAGCAAGACCACTGCTGGAGGGACGACTCCGGATGTCTTGGCTGTTCTCGTCACTTGTGATAATCCTGGTAGGCTTCAGTGCAAGACCCTGGCTACCATGGGCAACTCCTGACTGAAGTGATCCATAAAATGGTTTTGGCAAGAGAACACTTGGAATGTATTCAGCTTCCTTTATGGCTGGCATGGCCAGGGACTTGGAGCTCGTGCGTATTTGGTGGACATTTTCTGACAAGGGGATTCTTTGTTGATGGTCAGAAAGGTTGAACTTAAGCACACTTTCTGGTGATGGCACAACACTGGACACAGCACTGAGGATGCTTATCTGGGGTAGCTGCTTGTTTCCTTCAGGTGTGCTTGTCTTAGGGCCTTCAGTCAACTTCTTGGCTCCTTTAATAGGAACTGGGGTCTTCTTGACCAGGGGTTGCTTGTTTTCAGGAGTGCTGGTCTTTGGTGTTCTTTTGGTGAGCCTGTTGTCAGCAGGAGTCTTGATATGAGGAGTTTTATGGATGGCTGTTGCCCCCTCACTTTCCAACAACCTCGTCTTCAGAGCTGTTTCTGTGCTGAGGGGTTCTGGACCAGTCTTCAAGCCCAAG